AGCGAGATATTTGATGGAAGCAATGGAACAGGAACAAGTTCAGCTAATAGAAGAGCTTGAATTCACGAGGGAAGAAAATCAAAGGCTGTCTAAGCAGATGCGTGCCTCTGAAAGGTCTGGGATGCAACACATGCCTATACCTGAGAGCCATGAATCAAGAGGCTCTCTTTTTGAAACTCAAGATGGTAATGGAGACCTCTGCATGGTTACTTTGCAAGATAAGTTGGAGAAAATGGCCAAGGACCTTGAGGAGGCTCACTTGCTTAATAGCCAATATCTGGAGGATCATGCATTAAAGTTGTCGCAGGAACACCAAACTGATTTAGTGCGTGAGGAGGTTGAAATGGAAACAACTAAAACGATTCTTCATATGCAGGAAGAGATTGTTGCAATGAAGTCAGAATTACAGGAGAAAATATGCTTAATGGCTGATGAAAACATGAGTTTGAAGAACAGTCTGGCAGCAAAAGAGGAAGAAATAAAGGTGCTGTGCATGGAATGGGAAAGAGCAACTTTGGAGCTAACGACCTTTCTCATAGACGGTTCTAAGTCCATGCGAGATGCTTCCTCCCAGATAGAAAATATAGCTTGCTCATTTCCAGACGTCAATGCTTGCATTGGCGAACATGTAGAGAAAGCCGCTAAAATTTGTGTTGAGAAGGAAGAAACCATTCTTTTGTTAAAAAGGAGCTTGGAAGAAGCACAACGGGGCATATGGCAAATGGATGAGAAATTGAATTCTCTGAGAGGTGCAACAATGGCTTTTACACAAGCTCAGCAGTTAGATAATGAGGCAAGCAGCAAGGAAGCAATCCAGCTAGTTTCTTCTCTAGATGATCAAATCAGTAGGTTGGAAATTTTAGAAAAAAATCTACTGTACAAGGGGAACCACATTTCTGAAGTTCATGCTGGCTCGTCTTCTGCAAATGATGGATCTGATAGTATTGATAACCTCAAAAAAGGAGACAGTTCAAGCGAAAATTCATTTGCATTGGTAGCTCATGAAAATAATATTGAGTTGGCAAGGCTAGAGCTACTGGAGGTGGAGAATGCTGTTAATGCTCTCTGCTTTGATGCACAAAACTACCTTTCAGGCCTCCAGTCAGACGCCCATAAAATGATTTGTTCATGCAAGGATTTCAATCAAGAATTTCTGGAGCGTGTCCATCTTTTGCAGAATAAGTTCTATAATCTGATACAAAATGGCAATTCTCAGTACCATGCAGTTGGATTTCCATCATGTGATTCCAGTAAGCTCCATGACCATGATAAACAGCAGAAACTGCTGCATCAGATTAACTATGAACTTGTTGAAACGAACGAGAAATTGAATCAGATCACCACAAATATAAACAGAATTTTGAATTCATATCTGTGTCCTGATACAACTGAGGATCCAAGTGAATCAGATGAATGGACAACTGAGTGTTTAGCTTCGTGTTCTAATCTTTTAGCTGAAACTGTTGCTTCAGGAAAAAGGTCAAATACATCTTCTCTCAGTGGTAGTTCACAAAGCATAAGAAAGAAGTTGAATCTAGAAGACACATCACTATTGCATTTGAGGAGGGATTTTAATATGGCATATGGTGCTTTTTCCAAAATAAATGCTCAGTTCAATTTGGTTTTCAATGAGAAAGGAGAGGGCGATTGCTCAACCCCAGTGCTGTATCTCTCTAATTCAGCTGAACTTGCAAAACAGAACGACCAGCACCCAATCAGGAATCAACAAAGTGAAATAATTTGGGGTCATAAAATGATGATGCATGGAGCTGAAGTTAGCTGCAACTACAGTAGAGAGGTAATACTGATGTCATATAGGTTTTTTCATAATCTTAAATTGAATTTGAAACATCATATCCTTTATCATTTGAGGTAAGAAAAGAGGCCAAAATGCTGGTTTATAGATCTTTGTATTACTAGATAAAAGAAATGCCCTGCCCTTATCCATTTCATTTAATTTGAGTTCTGGATATTCACATCATTTCCTTGAGTTCATTCTGGGCATGCAGGAAGAAGTTGGTGACAACATCACTGAAGAGAAAGTCTTCTTCAAGAAGTTTGAGCAAGCCTTCTCAACCATCAAAGAAGTAGATTACACGTTAAATGCTCTGGTGGAAGTGAATAAGAATGAAAAACACTTGACTTCTATGTTGAGACAAGCAGAAGAGGAATTACTGGCACAGAAAGCAAGCTTAGTTGAAGATGTCAAACACCTTAAGTCCTCCATTCGGCACAGTGATGAAGAAAAAGGATTACTACAAGATGAGGCCTGTCACAGCTTGATAGAAATTTCAAATGGAATGTCCTTGCTTGAAGGGTCATTTGTTGATATGCAAAGAGATGTGGAGGGATTGTTGAAAACATTGTTTGCTGATGCTTCTAGAATGGCAGAAGAAACACTAGGCCACATCAGCATCTCAAAATCAATACTAGAAGGTATATTTTCTGCCACTATGAAGAACGGGGTATCCTCTTCTGTGCTACACCATTGTCAAACTATTGATTCTATACATGAATTGGGGAGAAGTTGTAAAATTGGCATGATCATGGATAAAGATAAGCTGGATGGAATGACAAGCTTCAGAAGAATGGAGGGTAAAGATTTGTGTCTAGACCAGATTGACAGCAAAAATGAAACTTTGGAGCTCAGAAAAGAATTGGAACGAAAAGAAGTTTTGCTGAAAGGTTTGCTATTTGACTTTAGTTTGTTGCAAGAATCAGCTTCTAACAGAAAGGATTTCAGAGATGAAGTTGGAAAGTTAATTGCAGCTTTGAATCGAGTTCAAAATGAGTTATCTACTAAAGAATATCAACTAAATGAAATGCTCATTCAGCAGAAAACTCTTGAAAACCAGCTACAACAGATGGAGAGTGCACTATTTTCCTCAAAAGCCGATCTTGAAGAGACTAGAAGAGCATCAGATAATTTCTCAAAGCAAAACTCTGAGCTCAGAGCTCTCTTAGAGGATCTTTGTGTGAAGAAGTCCCAAACAGAGGATGAGTTGAAAGAACAAAGGGAGATTGTGAAAAGCCTTGAAAATGAAATTCTTCGGCTGACCTCCTCAACAGAGAAACAACTGATATTGTTGAATAAAGATAAAGATACTGAAGATGATTTCATGAGGGTGACTGGAGAAAAGAACCATCTTCTTGAACAACTTCGGTTCTTGCAAGACAGGCTTGATATGGCATATTCACTAGCTGATGAGAATGAAGCTATTGCTGTACAAGCTCGCCAGGTATGTATTTTTCTGAAAAATATTTTACTGGCCAAACTTTGATGGGCATGCTCTGTGCTGATGTTATATCACTTGAGTTAACCAGGCATCAGAAGCCAGTAAAATGTATGCTGAAGAAAAGGATGAGGAGGTTAAGATTTTAGAACACTCCGTTGAGGAACTTGAGGGAACCATAAATGTACTGGAGAGTAAGGTAAGCCTTTCCACATGAATTTTCTGTCTTAAGAGTTGGTGGTCATTATTAATTTGTCCCTATTCATCAAAAAGAAGTCATTGGTCCCTGACAAAATCAGGCGTAGTATAACTTTTTAATTCAACTTTAGCTATTCTTTACTTGTGGAATGGCCTTTTAAAACAAAACAATATTTAACATGCAAGCTTTATTCTCTTGGTTTAATGTTAAGAAATTCAAGTCCTTTCCATTTGTTCTATTTTCAAGGTACATGAAATGGAAGAAGAGGTAGAAAGAGATAGCATGATTAGAGATTCATTAGAACTTGAACTTCAGGCACTAAGAAAAAGATTAATAATGGTTGAGAACTCTCAAAGTATGGACATGATCTCAGGTGAACTATACACAAAGGATCAATTTTTGAGGTCAGAAAGTTCATGTGGTTTATTTTATACAGAATCATTTATACATAACCATGACATGATATATGATGTGATATTGATCCAAAAAAACTGTATGGAAGGTTGGCGGAACCTACAAAGGCTTATTACCAAATAGGAGTTCTTGAAGAAGAAAAAGCAGAGCTAACTAAAGAGGTAGGTTCTTGTGTCACAAGTTGATTTCTTTCATTATAAGATTCTCTGTCCAGCCGGATTCTACATGTTTGAGCTTTGTTTTCTATGTTGTAGGTAAAACAATGCAAGGAATACATTTCAGAAATCTTATTGCACGCTCAAGCCCAGGCATCACAGTATCAACAAAAGGTATTGTAAAGCACAGAAAGTCCATTTAACCTATCATTGAGTGCAAGTAAATAAGAAAATCAAGTAGTAAAACCTTTATACCTCTAATTCATTTTCCAGGGCAAGGTTTCAGAGTCCCCATTATAAGCCTAGTGCTTGGCAGTGCATGCATAGCTGAAACTTATGCAGTGTGTTTCAACTTAGTAGACTTATGGAAGTTCTTTAATAATGCTCATATTCTAAGAATTAGAAGTGTCTGAACTCATAAACTTTTATGCAAAAGGAATTTTATAACTACACTAGGAAAGGAAAACTATTTGCAAGCTTCTAATGTAAGTGCCACACTAGAGACTGCTCAGTCTGCTTGGAGCTTTAGCCAAATCTCTATGCAGTAGTTTTTTTTTGGTGGTACGATCAATGATGCTTATGTAAAGTAACCTGACCTTATTCGCTGTATATGATACAGTACAAGGAGTTGGAGGCAGTGGTGCATGGACTTGAAACCCACTCATCAAACACAATAAATGGAGGACCAACTTCAGAGAAGTGCTCAACCAGGCCAAGAGGTTCAAGCTCACCTTTCAGATGCATTTCCAGTTTGGTTCAGCAGATGAATAGTGAGAAAGACCAGGAATTGTCAGCAGCTAAATTTCAAATAGAAGAGCTAGAGGTGTTACTGGCTCAAAAGCAGAAGGAGGTATGTACAATGAAAACCTTATCTAAAAAAAAAGAAAGAGCAGGAGGTATGCATTTTTAGATAATTTTTTTTTTTCATACAAGAGTCTTATTTTAGAAATGGTAGCTGTGGAAAGCTAATTCATTTGCTCGAGGGGTGGTTCCTAATGATGACACTAAGCAACTTTTAGGGTAACATAAATTTAGTAATCCAAATTTCACCCCTTATTCTGAGATTTATTACAAAGTCATTTATAAGCATGAACACAATGTGTTTCTTTGATATGTTCAAATTCCATCGGAGGTGACAGTATTCAAAATTTTCTCATTTCCCTTAGCCTTGGTGAATGGTGATAGTAGTTGTGCTGATGGAAGGCTGCAAGTACCATGTGGATTCATCAAGGTGCATCCTGACTAGATCAGACACCATCATTAATGAAAAAAATGACCATTTTATTGCTAAGCTCTACAAAAAAAGGAAATTCAGTCAGTGTACATATTTTATTTGTAAATCCTCCTTAATAGGAGTAAAAGCTATTGACATAAACAAGAATTTGTAAAGTATATTAGTAAAGGCCTAATAGAGGCAATCTATCACAACCTCAAAACAGGTAACACGATTTAAGACAATCACGGAGCTACATGTGAAGTTTAAAATATCAATATCTATCTCCATCACTTTTGTACTGATATATCTACTTCTCATTTCTAACAACCAACAACGTTACTCTTTGGCTATCGTCTCAGTAGTGCTATTATTATCCCTTCATCTTCTGTACTGCCATGTTTTCAAGACATATCCTGCCGCTTTCATATAGATAGTTACTCTTCTTACACATATTAATTTTCATATATGTTGTCAGATTTGTATGCTGAACAGTAGACTTGCTGCAACAGAAAGCATGACACATGATGTTATTCGGGATTTGCTTGGTGTCAAGCTGGACATGACTAGTTATGCTGTAAGTACCCCACTAATCCCTCTTTATTTTCTTGTGTATTTCCGTTTCTGAGTTATAATGACTTTTTTCTTTCTGTATGTTCTAGAATTTGATGAACCAGTTTCAACTACAAAAGTTTGTAGAGGAGGCTCAGCAGCAATCAGAAGAGCGCATTGTAATGGTATGCTTAATAGGAAATCATATGCTAAAATTTTAGTTCCTTACAAGTGGTTTATGTTATTACAGGAGAGAGAACTTTCCGATCTAAGGAGACAAATTGATGATCTAGTTGAAGAAAGAGAGAGGTGAGTTACTTTGTCTTCCTCATCTTTGAATTTAACCAGTGTTGAGTAGACAAGGAATGATGTGTTACATTAGAAGTATGGTTGGCAGTAGAGTAAATCTCTTTTTGAAAGAGAAATATCAACGCAATAGTGTTTCGCTGGAGCAACATAATATCATGCACGTTCTTCCATAAAATGCATAGGATTGATAGATATTCCAGTATTTAAGAAAAGCCAGTATAATATTCTACTTAGATTCTATTTGTAGGATGTATGATGGGTTCTGACTATTTAACAATTTTTAGATACACTTTGGAAGGAAAAAAAAGAGAGGCAGATGTGCTATCATCCCAGATGTGCATGGAACAACTCCGAGAGCGTGATCAGATGCTGATTGCTCAAAATGAAATGCTAAAAGTATGAAGGTTTTACTGTCTCATATTAGGAGATAAATGTAATATTGGTACATTAGTTGTTAATTAATGATATTGCTGTTGGATTTGACACCAGATGGATAAGACTAACTTACAGAGGAAAATTGTGGAACTGGATGATATGGTAAAAAGGCTGTTGGGAAAACAGAGTCAAACAGAAATGGGTGCCTTAGCTAGATTGAAAGAAATTGATGTTAGCCAAAAGCTGGGTCACCCTCAGAAGTTAGTTTTGGTTGCAAGAGACAGTTTTTCGCTCTCGTGAGGCTGAAGACCTGAACGGTTGTGGTAAGGACACAAGATTCAGGTGAGTTTGACATCATAAACTTAGAGAGCAAAACGACTATCAATCACAGGAAGTCTGTGGAGAATGAAAATTCCAAATGCAAATACCAGTAATAGGAGTTGCAGATAATTGATTAGTAATATTTTGTTGGAATGTAACTATCAGGTGTATCATATATTGTATGTATGTAATGTAATATTGGTTTGTGGAGAGATGAGCAACCTGAATAAGCGGTAATAGGGACACAACTCAGAGTTAGTAATTCTTCTAATTCAATGTAAAAGGCATTATATGCCAGTTCCAACTACTTTGGAATTGTTGTATGTATATTAATGGGAGTGTTCACCACCTGTGATCAAATAGCCCCTTGCGAATGAACCACTTGATGCACTATCTCCCTTTGACCACCACCACCATGCAGTCAGAAGATACTAAAATCGATTCTCCAACTGAATCTGAGGTGTTGGAATTTTGAATAGACTATAATACAAGTTTTTGCACTTACTGATCTTATCATGTGGTCTTCAATTTTTGCTGAATGTTACTTTTTTAACAAAAAAGTTGTGGGCTAAATTCATTGGGCACAGCTAATATTGAAGCAAAACTTTTTAGGGAAAATCACTCGAGTATTCCATATTTGAAAAATATTACTATCTATAGCAACATAGTTTTTTTAACCGTACACAAACAATTTTTTTAAATAAAAATCATTACATTACCTTCCACAAAAATCAGGTTATAAAAATTTAGGATTGTTGTTCATATACTCAAGTAAGTGATTTTGTCCCTAGAAAAATTGTTGTTCATATGGTGAAAACAATTATTTTTTTTTAAAAAATGACGTGGAGAAGAATATAACAACCCAATTTTGGTACAAAATTGTGTGGTAAGCAGAGGTTCCGTATCACTAAAACTACATTAACAAATTCATCGTTAATGGCCATTAAAAAGCTTTTAGGCTTTGCATTCATTAGTTGGAGTTTATGAATATGTGATTAGTTTGAGTGGGTTCTGAAAAAAATTATTGAAAATAATGTTTGAAGTATATACCTCAATTTTAAGGGGATTGGTAGAGTTCAGAATAAAATTTAGGAGAAATATTAAGCTAAAATTGTGTCACATTTATATTAAAATTGAATTAGATTTATTTCATAATTGTATTAAAATCATATTAAAATCATGAACAAAATATTTATAATATATATTTCAAACTCATTCATAATACATTCACAATAATTTTAAATGCATAATATTACTCATTTTCTTAGTGATATAAATCAAATCATTTATACGAAATAAACTTAGTGATACCAACCAAATGATTGCACACTACATTTTAATACATATTACAAACATCACTCATGTTGTTAGTGATACAAATCAAAGCAATTTATAAGACACATACAATACATGTTTTGTTCATGTATAATACAAATTTAACTCAGTCTATAGATCATTGTCTTGTCTTTTGTTAGTTACGTTTTTCATTCATTCTTAATTCTTTTTTCTAATTCAACTTTAATATTGTGTAATACACTTTTAATGCTAATTTAGTTCATTTTATAGTTTATTTGGTTGATTTGCTACTATTGGATTAATTGTTTGATTCATTATTAATACAAGTTTAATTAACTCTATAGATAATGTATGTTCTTTCATTAGTTGCATTTTTCGTTCATTCTTGTTCCTCTCTTCTAATTTAATTTTAATATAGTGTAATATACTTTTAATGCAAATTTAATTCATTTTGCAAATTATTGGGTTGATTTGTTACGATTGAATTACTTATTTAATTCATTATTGATACAAGTTTAATGCACTCTATATTGATGTAGGTTCTTTCATAAGTTACGTTTTTTTATTCATACTTAATTCTTTCTTCTAATTCAACTTTAATATTTGTGCTATATACTTTTAATACAAGTTTAATTCATTTGGTAGTTTATTAGTTGATTTGTTACGATTGGATTACTTGTTTAGTTCATTATTGATGCAAGTTTTATTTAGTTTACAGATCATAAAATGTTCTATCATTTGTTACATTTTGCATTCATGTTTAATTCTCTTCTAATTCAACTTTAATATGTGCGCAATACATTTTTAATTTTGATTTAATTCATTTACAGTTTATTAAGTCTCTTTATTTGTTACGTTTACAATAATTGTCTAATTAATTACTGATACAACTTTTATTCAGTCTACAAATCATTGACTACTCTACGAAAGAAAGTAGAGATAAAGAAAGAAAAAAAGAGCAAGCAAAAGAGAAAAAAATATTCAAAAACAAGGGAGAAAGAACAATAGAAAGAAAACAATGGTGCAAGAGAATAAAAGGAAAACAAGGGAGAGAAAACAATAATAATAAAGAAAAGGAGAAAGAATGAAAAAAGGTGAGAGAAAAAGGATAAAGAGACGAGAGACAAAGATAACTAAGAAAATATATAGTATCATATATTTATATAAAAGAGAACTCTAGGTATGCCTACTTGGCGTCACACAAGATAAAATTTCCTTTTAAATCTATTTATTTTCAAAACTAGTCTTCCTCTTTCATGAAAAGATGTGACTTTTATGAAAAATTGCGACGTTTATTAAAAGTTGCGACTTTAATGAAAAGTTGCAACTTTTATCAAAAGTTGTGACTTTTATAAAGTTGTAATTTAATGAAGAATTGTGATTTCTTTCAAAAGTTGTGATTTTTATGAAAAGTTGTGACTTTATACAAAGTTGCGACTTTTATGAAAGGTTGTGAACTTTTCAAAGTGTTGCAACTTTTCCAAATAGTTGTAACCTTTCTGATAAGGCACAATAAAGATTTGTTCACACTATCCTTTGATGTCTATAAATAGAGAGATTTCTTCTCATTTTAAAACAATAAAAATTCTGATCTACTTCTTCTACTTCCGCAAAATTAAGTTTTCGCATGCTTTGTTCATTTTGAGTGACCTACTGACACCACTATTTTTGTATCAATAAGTTGGTGGATAAAATTTTTTCATCATGGGAGGATGTTATTCTTTAAACCTTTGATATTGCGGGGAAATAATTTTCTTAAGAGGACATTGTACATTTAGTGGACTCAATTTTTTCCTTTCTATTTCATTCTATTTTTACATATCCTGGTATATTTTTTTACACTCAATAATTTATGCGTATGCTATTAATTATTTTTTTAATACACGTTTTAATCTCTATTATTTATGTTTTTGCAAAGTTATTGTCTCCGGTTATATTGGACATATACACATATAGTACGTATATTCATTGTGCAGAAAATAATTATTATACTCAGTTTTAAGAATTAAGTTTTGATATTATATATCAAATTCTATAACTTAAAAGTACTATATATAAGCTTGCATGTTATCTATTTTTAAAGATATGAAATTTCTCACTTATCAATTGAAAAAATTCATTATACAAGTTTAAAAGTTATAATTACATTCATGTTCAAGCGTAATTTTTTTTTTTTGAATATGTTAACAATTTTTTAATTTTTTTTGATATCACAATTGTATAATCTATGCAACTTAAATATTTCTTTTTATTACGAAATGCCTTTGTATCACAATCTAAGAATTTTGTTCATTATTTATCATTACACACAATTTCATAAGTGGAAAAAGTAACAATCTTTTTTTCCTTATATCTTATTTCATTTAAATTCGAATAGTTTAATGTGTGTATCTGGGACAGAGAGTGTAGAGAAAGAGAAATTAGTTGGAAGTAGCACTGGTTTTTGGCCACTAAACCTACCACCCTAATAATGATTAAACTAATAAACTGTATCTTTCAAAAACTTTAATTAGAACAATTTACTTAGTTACTATTATTTCATATTTTCTTCTTTATTTTCTTTTAATGTTGATTAAAGAATCAATAATTTATTATTTCGTGAATAATTCATTCATTAGAGGTTCTTGAATTATGCTATAATAACAAATAGTCAAATTCATGTTAGAATATTGCTAATTTTTTTTTAAGAACCAATTTTTTCAATATTTTCAATGTATGGATATTGGTAAAAAATTATTTGCAAGACCAATGCAATTATTATTTATGACCGCGCGGGTAAATTACCTAGTTGTTGTATTTTATAATAATGAAAGAGTATATTTAAAATAAATAATTATTTTTTAAAAGGAATCTACTCATGTAATTAATCCTACTTTTTAAGCCATTACTTCTGCCTTAAGCATAACTTAAGATTTGCAGGACAAAACTTAAAGGAACTTTTTCCTTTAAGGCACAACCTTTTATTAAAATCATTCGCATAGAAGTGTTCACCACCCATATGACCCCTACTGTTAGACTCGTAAATGACTTGATCTAACTATGTGCAGGCATGACAAAGGTTAGGGCATTGGTCTTGGCATGTATGTGGTCAAAACAGTGCAGTTGTGCAACTAAGAGTTAGTGAGCAGCGAAGAGTTCAAGATGCTTGAGTATGACAGGGCATCTTAGACGCATAGGGCTTACGTATGGGCAGAATTGTCGGCAATACAAGGCCGTGTGTTAGCTTGACAAGGCAAGGTTCTGCACTTGACGTTGGCTAGACAAAAGCTGATATAAAACAAAGTGTTGGAAGCATGCTAAAATATTCCAAGTGTTGGAATAAGCTGAAATACTCTAGTGTTGGAATAGGCTGAAATATTCTAAGTGTTAGAATGATTAATTTCAGTTATGTGTTAGAATGTATTTTGATTTCGAAAATATTCTATCTCTTAGAATATTAAGTGCTGGAATTTAGTGTGAATTTTGTGAGGACAAGTGTTATACACATGTCAGATTTAATCGCCGATGTAACTGTTGTAATTGCCTTGTGCAGAACATCTATATATGGTGGAAATTCGTCTAAGGCAAAGGAGAAGGATTCTGGCCTTAGATTAATTTGTGAAGCCTTATCCTTTGTTGATTTGATATTAATAAAAGGTTGGAAAGAGTTCTTGTATGTTGGTTGTGTTGTTACTTTGATTATTGCCTAAGAAAAACTAAGTTAAGTATTTCTATACTTAGCCAAATTTGTGTGAGTGTAAGACTGAAGTTTGTAAGAGTTGTAGACTGCCTAGGAGTGATGTTAGATAAAAAACCAACTCTCCTTCAATTAGTATTAGAGCGCAGTTGAACGATGGTGACGAATGCAGAACTTTGGGAAATAGTACACAAGGTTGAAGCCTTCATTGGGATTACTGATGAAATAATGAAAGACCCAACTTTGGTGGATCTTTTGACTATCAATTTGAGACTAGATGCTGATAAAATTTGAGGGGACGTTAGTGTGTTTTAGAGAGCTGTCGACGAACATATGGCTGAATCTTTAAATTTTTGTGAGGCTACGAAGGTACAATTGGAGCGACTGCAAAAGGATAATGAAAACCTTCTCGCAGATATCGTTGTACAGTGTCGGGCTGTGGCAGCGTTAAGTTCAAATCGTGAGAAATCGTCTAAGGTTAAAATTGTGTAACCTAAAACCTTTGGTGGCACAAAGAGTGCTAAGGAACTAGAAAACTTCATCTGGGATATGAAGCAGTATATTAGTGCTGCAAGGGTGCCTGAAACGGACAATTTAAACATAACTACAATGTATTTGAAGGGTGATGCATAACTTTGGTGGAGGACTCGAAATACAGATAATGTAAGTGCTGAACGATCCAGAATTTATTCATGGGATAAAT